ACAAGGTCAGGATCATTCAGGATAGACTTCGTACATCTCAGTCCAGGCAAAAGAGTTATGCACACCGCAAGGTTCGAGATGTGGTTTTTATGGTTGGTAAGCGGGTACTGCTCCGAGTGTCTCCTATGAAGGGCGTGATGAGATTCGGGAAGAAGGGTAAGCTTAGCCCCAGGTTCATTGGCCCATTTGAGATTCTTGATCGAGTGGGAGAGGTGGCTTATAAACTTGCATTGCTGCCAAGCTTATCAGTCGTGCATCCAGTGTTTCATGTGTCCATGCTTCGGAAATATCACGGCGATCCATCCCACGTGTTAGATTTCAGCACTGTCTAGTTGGACAAGGACTTGTCTTATGAAGAGGAGCCGATAGCTATTCTAGACCAGCAGGTTTGTCAGTTGAGATCTAAGAGTTTCCCTTCTGTTCGTGTTCAGTGGAGAGGTCAGCCTCCTGAGGCATCGACCTGGGAGTCTGAGTCCGATATGTGGAGCCGTTATCCCCATCTTTTCCCCGACTCAGGCACTTCCTTCTTCTGTCCGTTTGAGGACGAACGGTTGTTTTAGAGGTAGAGAATGTGACGACCCAAAGGGTCATCACCTGTGTTTTAATTGAATTATGTGCTTTCGAGGCCTTAAAAACCTCAGTTAGAGTCGCCTCGATTTTTGCGTGCACAATCTGGGCGCGTAGCCGGAAAGCTTAAATATGAAATTCTAGGAAAAATACTAAGTTTTGATGTTAAAATAAATAAATTTGACTTTGGTCAATATTTTGGGCAAATAGGAAAATATGGGACTTGGGCGTATGCCCGAAATTGAATTTCGAGGTCCCAAGCCCGAGAAAGCCCGAGAAATGAATTTTTTAGAAAAATTATTTTCTGGAAATGTTTAAGAAAATTGGAAATGAAATCTGATTAGAAAGCGATAATATCGGGCCTGTATTTTAGTTCCGGCGCCCGGTACAGGTCTTATATATGTTTTAAGTCATTTTTTGTAAAATTTGGTATAAAACGGATGTCGTTTGATGTGATTCGAACTTTAAATGGAAAATTTGATGTTTTAAGAAGTTTGAAAGAATTCATGGAATTTGAGGTTTAATTCGATGTATATGATGTTATTTTGGCGATTTGATCGCACGGATAAGTTCGTAGGATGTTTTGAGGTTGTGTGTATATTTGGTTTGGAGCCCCGAGGGCTCGGGTGAAATTTGGATAGGCCACGGGTGCATTTTTGAACTTAAAAGTTTGCTGGTATGTACTGACCTGCAGGCTTCGCATTTGGCTCGCAAATGCTAAAGCTGCCTCGCAAATGTGAAACAACCTAGACCTGCTCCTTCCTCGCAAATGCGAAAGCCTCCATGTTGCCAGTGATCGCAAATGCGATTAATATTTCGCAAATGCGATCAATATGTCGCAAATGCGACATAGGTATCGCAAATGCGAAGGTCCAGAATTTTAGAAGGTTTCGCAAATGCGAACTGTTTTTCGCAATTCCCACATCAACAGGTCGGGGTTAGCAATTGCGAGCCCCTGTTCGTATTTCCCATAACTGAGACCTGCATTTTTCTATACTTAGCCGATTTTCAGCCATTTTTAACATCTTTTCAAAACACAAACTCCTTTGGGCGATTTTCTAAGAACAACTCTTCTTCCAAATCGATTGTAAGTTAGCTTTTACTCATTTCCTTCAAACATTAACATCTTTTAACATGATTTCAATCCGAATCAAAGATTTTCATGGGGGAAATTGGGTGTTTTGGGTAGAACCTAGGTTTTTCAAAAACGGGGATTTGGACCTCAATTTGAGGTCCGATTTCAAAACAAATTATATATTTGAGTTCGTCGGGGAATGGGTAATCGGGTTTTGGTTCGAACTTCGGGTTTGACCACGTGGGCCAAGGGGAATTTTTTGACTTTTTGGGTAAAACTTTGAAAAACTCATTTTCATGCATTGGGGTTGATTCATTTAGCATTTATTGATGTAATTAAGTAATTTATGACTAGATACGAGCGAATTGGCGGTGGAATCAAGGGGTAAAGCTATAGTTGAGACTTGAGTTGTGTTCAAGGCATTGAGATAAGTGTTCGGTCTAACCTTAGCTTGAGGGATTAGGAGTTGAGTCATATTTGCTACTTGCTTCTTGTTGAGTATGCCGTATAGGCATGGTGACGAGTATCTATACATTGGTGTCGAGCATGACCGTGAGTCGTCAATTGAAAGTTGTTGTGTTCTTAAATGACATTTCGGATGCTTTAATTAATGATCTTCTATATTGAGCAAAGATTTGGTTTATCCTCATAGATCATATTTATGATTGAACATTGTCATTATCTGAGTTGAGTACAAGCTAAGTTAAGATTGGTTATAGCTGATTCTCTCTTGCCGGGATGATTGTTTCGATATCTTTGTTCCCTTGCCGGGAAATTATCATATTGGTTTTGTGCCCTTGTCGGGAAACTATTATATTGTTTTTGTCCCCTTGTCGGGAGGTCATTATATTGCTTATGTTCCCTTGCCGGGATTTCTTGTAATTGTGTGATGAACTGTAAAAGGGAGCGGGTGGTACGCATACCACAAGATATGATGAAATGGGAGGGGGTGATACGCCTACCACAAGATATGATGAAATGGGAGGGGGTGGTATGCCTACCACGAGATATGATGAAATGGGAGTGGGTGGTACACCTACCACAAGAGTTAATGAAATGGGAGCGGGTGTTACGCCTACCACAAGAGTTAATGAAATGGGAGCGGTGTTACGCCTACCACAAGAGTTAATGAAATGGGAGCGGTGTTACGCCTACCACAAGAGTTAATGAAATGGGAGCGGTGTTACGCCTACCACAAGAGTTAATGAAATGGGAGCGGTGTTACGCCTACCACAAGAGTTAATGAAATGGGAGCGGTGTTACGCCTACCACAAGAGTTAATGAAATGGGAGCGGTGTTACGCCTACCACAAGAGTTAATGAAATGGGAGCGGTGTTACGCCTACCACAAGAGTTAATGAAATGGGAGCGGTGTTACGCCTACCACAAGAGTTAATGAAATGGGAGCGGTGTTACGCCTACCACAAGAGTTAATGAAATGGGAGCGGTGTTACGCCTACCACAAGAGTTAATGAAATGGGAGCGGTGTTACGCCTACCACAAGAGTTAATGAAATGGGAGCGGTGTTACGCCTGCAACAAGATGAGACAAAAAAATGAAAGGTTCCTTTATTTCCCTTTATCAGTGTTAGAAGTTAAATTGCAGTTTCCATATTATTCCTGATATTTTGCTTTATCTGTTATCCCCGGAGCATGTTTCCCTTCCCCAGCTTTAAATATTTATTACTTGTTTACTTTTCCGCCATATATTATATAACTGCACAGGTTTATCTAGAGTCTGGTCCTAGCCTTGTCACTACCTCGTCGGGGTTAGGCCAGGCACTTACCAGTACATGGGGTCGGTTGTGCTGATATTACACTCTGCACTGTGTGCAGATCCCGGAGCGACGTTTGATCATCAGGAGTAGATCGGGAGCCATCCTTCAGTCCACCGAGACTCCAAGGTAGCCCTGCTGGCGTCCGCAGGCCCGACGTCTCTTCTATCAGTTTTCATGTTCTGTTGACATTTGTACTCGAGACAGACTATGTTCTTTATTTCAAACACTTATTTGTAGTAATCCTAGACAGTCCGTGAATGTTGTGACACCTGGTGCTGGGTAGAGACTTGTATTGTCTTTCTAGACGTTCGCTTCTATATTTATCTAAGACTTCCGCTAATTTTATTTTTCGTTGTCATTTAATTGCTTATTCATGATTAATTTAATTGTTTAAAACATGTATAAAACGAAAAGGGCTAATGATTTCAAGGGTTTATGGCTTGCCTAGCTTCCACGAGTAGGCGTCATCACGACTCCCGAGGGTGAAAATTCCGAGTCGTGACATTTTCAACCTTCCCCACCCTATTCTCCATGCCTACCAACTCCCACCAACCCACCCTGCCCCCGACCCACTCTCACATCCTAAATAGAAATATTATTAATAGTTCTTTCTTTTCATGTGATAGATAGAGTACCTTTTTTTTTATCTCGACAAAAAAATATTTTCTTTTCATGATATAAAAAAAGTATTTTTTTTATTTTAACACAAAAAAAATTCATGATGTAGAAAAGTACTTTTTTTTAATTCAACAAATGAGAATATTTTTTCATGATGTAAAAAAAGTATTTTCTTTCATTTCAACAAAATGAGTACTTTATTTTCATGTTGTAGAAAGAGTATTTTCTTTTTCAACCAAAAAAAAAAGATTATTTTCTCTTTAGTTATGGAGCACAAATTTGAACGTTTTTTTTACGTAAAAAAGTAAAACAATACATTAGTTCATTTGGGTTTGTGTGAATTTTTAGAAAATAATTAAATTCTGAAGAAAATAGATATGTCG